CTGGCCTGCTGACCAGGCTGATACAGTAACGGGAAATGCCTTCTTCCGAAGGTGTTCAGCAATATATTCGGTGATAGTTCCTACAATATAATCAGTGATATATACGACATCGTTTTTGTTAAAAATGAACCTACTTTGAACGCGAAGTAGATACATCCTGTTTTCAGGAGTTCTATGGGCGAGATCTTGACGAGGCAAACAGCTGTTCGAACCGAGTTGCCATATCGTCAAAGGTCGCTGCCAGTCTTCGTTTCGCCGACATTCCTGGCAAGCTTGTAACCATTGGCGACTGTGTAGAAGGTCCATCCGAATCTTCACCATACTCGTCTTCGTCTTCGTCTTCATCGTCGTCACCGACATCGGCCTTATCAGCAATGAACTTGGAGGCTGCCTACATTTGTCGTTTAGTTTATACATATCTCAGTCATGACATTCACTGACCTTGGATAATTTGTGTGATTTTTGAGTACGTGATCTTGACGAGTAGACGTTCGACCTCGGTGTAGGTATACAAACGGAAGACTCTTCTGGTGAAGAGGGTATGTAAGTCTTCCAAAGCTTGGTAAAGTTCTCCAAGGATTTGGCGTTATCCTCGTCGCCGGAGAAGAGGAGACGTCGAGGTTCCACCCAGTCGTCTACTAAGTATCGATCGCCCAGGTACGCTATGTGCGCGTCGTCTACCTCGGATAGAGACATCGATGTTGTGAGGAATTTGGACAGGATCACCCATGCACCATTATCGTACAGCGCCGGTGGTACTGCCTGGTTCGCTGTATCGTACTCGTGAATGACTGGATGTTAACTATAACGAATAACAACCAACTTACCTTGAACGTCAATCGTGCACTGCCGCTTCGAGGGCGGTTCATCACCGCCGGATCTAGCGCGTTTAAACATGAATCTATGAGATATATCAACTTAGATGTTACAGCAATATGGACTCTGACTCGGACATACTGTTATTCGTTAGTCTATTCGGTATTCTACGTTATCTATATGTACGACGTATCGTACTAGTAGATGTATTTGAGGATGCGATGAGAGAAAGAAAACCTGTTACTAACGCGCAAGCTCAGTATATATAGTGAATGACTATTTGGATTAGCTAATACTTACTACAGGGACGTCTCGGTGTGGTTGTGTATCGTGTATTGTCTCTTACAGAGACGGTTGTGGACCGTGCATTGTTTTGTGGAGATGCTGACTGCTCGGCATTGTAGACCGGTGGGCGCAAGCATCAGCGATTGTCATGTGAGAATATTTTTCTACTGAAATGAAATAATCCTGCCCTAGTGACGTAGATAGTAGGCGGCAGTGAATTAAAGTTTCAGTCCTACTCCCTCCCGCTCGCTACCTAGCTAATAGTATGTGAGGTGCAACGCTAAAGTTAAAGTTTAAAGGGCTGCCCGAACGAATCACAAGTCTACTCTACATTTCAGCTAAATATGAGCTACTTCAGGACTTAATGCTATGTAGCCTAATGTAAGACAATGATCGGGAAGAAGACAATTGGTGACGAAGACACGGTACATAAAGTGAATGACTCGCTATTCAAACCCAGCTGGTAATTCCCGAAGAGTTGTGAGCGGGCATTGCCAGCTGAGTTTGAACATAGTTGTTCACTATATCAGGGTGTTCCTTGCTTGAACTGAACTTCTTTCCGAGCGTCCGTCTTGATTTTATTACAAATTCGTTATTCCTTACCATAATGTCTTGAGCTTCACAATACTGTCTTGTCCAGTTAATTACCTTAATATTACTATACGTTGATATCTTAATATATTGTCCTTAAGTCGACGCACTTCGTCTTATGTTAATACTTGCCTTCGAGATCTAACGTTCGGAAACTATGATGGTTCGTATAGGTAGGGAATAGAGTACGATAAACAAGCACACTCGGCGTGTTGCTTTTGGCCCCTGAGCTCATCACCCGCTTGACAAAAATTGTAAGCATATACTTCATTATTCAACAAAATTTTAATTCAGACATAGATATCATGTATATACCCGTGCGGATGGCCCTCGTAGATCACAGCTACGCTTTCGGTTCCGAGCCTTCATCTTCCCAGCTAAATAACTCTGGACCAAAGGTAGGAGAAGGGGCATTCGGTGGAATCTGATCTAGGTGGGGCACATAGACGAAATCAGGCATACAGCGCTCGAGGTTCTCAGCGCAGGTGGTAATCTTCCAGCCATCTATGCCTGTATGTCGCTACCCGTTCCAGAAGGTAAGCAATATAAATTTCCGCGCCTTTCAGCTGTTCCTTGACGTGACGTAGCTCCGATTCTATTTCGCTTTTGGATTCTTCGTCGGTGCCTAGGTCATATTTTTCAGATACACCATACGGTTCCAAGTTGAATCGTGAAATCTCACGTGGCGTCTGAGTTCCTGAATGCTCCAATCTCTTTATTCGAAGGAGCTGCCTGTAGTCATGTTGGTCGTGAGTTATTTTCTGAACCGCTTCATTACTCACTCGGTATCGCGAAGCTCATCTCCCTCTGTACTTCGCAGCGTGTTCAATGAAGAAAATTGGAAGCTCGAGGTAACTTTGTGGGTTTGCGTCTCATGCGTATACTGAAACACTTACCTTAGTGTGACATCGCTTCCAAGATGGACACATCGCCGCAAAGTCTCTTGAAGGGGTGAATTGGGCATCGAAGGAAGAGGTCACAAATGCTGCGATAGCAGTTGCAGTTCTATATATCTAAATTTACTACGATGGCGCACGAAATTAATGCGCCATCCTCTTTATTTTACGTACTTCGATGGTGCATTCAAGCTAAATAAGTCGCGCTTGATTTAGATCACGACATCTATGGCGCTCTGATGGCGAGGCCATTGATTTTTTTTTAAAAAGAATGGCGAGGTTTACACATACCTATTAATGGCATGAATGTTTAGGTATATAAAGCCCCCCTCGTTTACTACCGATTTTACAGCTCGCCTACCTTTAATCCATGAGTGGTGACGAGAATAACTCTCCCAATGATTCCTCGCGAAAGCGTAGTGCTTCAGCGCTACACACGGGCCCGCGTAAAAAGGCGTAAGTGTTCTTTAATTGGTAATCCCATCCTGACTCAGTCTTCATCAGCACTTCATCAAATCCCCTGGTACTTCACGGCCGACATTTTGGTCGGACAGTGTTTGCCCTTTGTAATTTCCCTGCTCTTCTGACTTCCAGTATACTGCGACTTGAAGAACTACAGGATACATCCATCGAGGATTATCCAGCAGAGTGCGTCCAATTTGACCATTAACTGTTGCAAGGACTTGAATATTTTTCAACGCAGTGTTCGACGCGAACATAGGGTTTTCATGGAACTGATAGATTCCTACCCTGGTCTTTTAGCTCGTCTGACGGACGGCGAGGAGGAGGATATTATTCACGTTGGAGAATTAGTAAGTTTTTATTTTGCAATATCATCGTACTTATCGTTTGCAGTTAGGTAAAGGAGCCTCTGGTGCGCGAGGCGACGATACCAAGACCCTCAAGTCTGCTGTCCTGGAATGGCTTATGCCCAGAGGACAGCCACTCATACCGCCCCTCTCCCGGAATATCAAATCGGACCGCGGGTTCAATCATGAAGTTACCGGTAGGTTGCTCTGCCCCGCCGGTCTTGACTGGTCAGACGTAGAGTAAGTCTTTCCCCTATCGTATTAACTGTCTATTATAACATTACACAGAACCAAACAGGCTCTGAAGAGCGGTGAAACCGCAGTCAGTGGTGATCAATGGCCTGTATTCTTATATGCTGGGTACCACTATGATCCCGATGATCCATGGAAGGGCTTACTCAGGAGCGAGATACTAACTTTCGTAAGCTCGATTTCATTGCTGATAAAGTCCTTACTCCGAGCTATGTAGGGTTTCAAACATGTTTTTACATCTCCAAGCTCGGTGGATAAGGAGCCGAAGGCTACGCGCTCCGGCAACGCTTACCTGCATGGTATGAAGTCTGTGACTAAAGGCTCTCTAGCTTACATTGCTACACAGGCATGCAAATTTATTATATACGCCTTCTACTGCTGATTTTTTCCCTTTAGATTCGGTTTGCCTTAAGTTCGTCGTCAGTATTTTCACGTACCGACACGGTCACAGACTCCGACAATTTCTATCACAGCATTCTCGACTTACTAGAGGATCCTGACGAAATTGAGGAAGTTGATGACCTGATGACATGGTGGACACGGTTCGTAACTTATATTGTCAGCTCTATGGGGTCTAAACTCACACCTTGCATAGTCGAATATTTCCTAATTCTTCTTCCTCTCAGCGCAGTATCAGCAAAAACAGCGCGCTAGCTAAGATTCGGGAAAAACGTGCTGCCTTGCGAGAACTAACCATTGCCAACACACATTAGTTATTTACTGTTTTTGTAAATATATTATCCAATCAATGTCAATTTCCTATGTGAACATATATATGTGACCAAATCACCTCAAATTGATGTGGCGAGAAATCTGAATATTAGAAGCTTGATTTATTGTCATTCATGGCAGTTTCTGGCGTCGGAAGCTGCCCCTGTAATGGCAGATATGCTCTTTTGACAGAGAACACCTTGTTATGACTTGACGATGCAGTGCCAGAACTTGACTCGCAGTCAGTAATGGTGGTTTCCCCCATCGGAAGCTACCCCTGTAAGAGCAGATATGCTTGGTAGAAAACCAGCAACTTGATAGGTTATATAACTCAATATCATGTCCTGACGCACTGCCAGTGATTACAGAAACTGCCACTGGAAGCCACTCATGCAACAGTAGTTGCATCTGATAGAAGACCAACAGCTTTATATAGCATGATAACTCAATATCATATGGTGGCATACTGTCAGTGATTGTAAAGCCAGATATAATAGATAGATAATTAGCACCTTGCTACAATATGATAATCTAATATAAATGCTAGGTCATACTGACATGAATGGTGGCTTCTGCAATTCAAAGCTACCTATCTAAAGCCAGACATACCTAGTTGAAAACCAGCATCCTGATAAGATATTATATATCAATATCATGACCTGACACTTTGTTATCAGTGGTGGCTTCTGAATATTACAATCTATCTCGGTAACAGCAGATATGCTTGACAACCTAATATCATGCTAGGTCACAATGTCATTGATGGTGGCTTCTGCAATCCAAAGCTGCCTATCTAAAGCCAGACATAACTGGTTGAAAACCAGCATCTTGATAGGTTATTATATATCAATATCGTGACCTGACACTTTGTTATCAGTGGTGACTTCTGAACATCACAATCTATCTCGGTAACAGCAGATATGCTTGACAACCTAATATCATGCTAGGTCACAATGTCATTGATGGTGGCTTCTGCAATCCAAAGCTGCCTATCTAAAGCCAGACATAACTGGTTGAAAACCAGCATCTTGATAGGTTATTATATATCAATATCGTGACCTAACACTTTGTTATCAGTGGTGACTTCTTAACATTACAATCTATCTCGGTGACAGCAGATATGCTTGACAACCTAATATCATGCTAGGTCACAATGTCATTGATGGTGGCTTCTGCAATCCAAAGCTGCCTATCTAAAGCCAGACATACCTGATTGAAAACCAGCATCTTGATAAGTTATGATTCATCAATATCATTGCCAAGCACAGTGTTAGTGATTACACATTCTGTCATCAGCATATGGCCATGCAATGATAGGATGCATCTGTCAATAAAACACCAATGTGCTAGTGAATTATAACTTTGTACCATAGGCCTATCAATATTGTAGCTTTGGAAGATTCCACCAATGTAGGCTGCCTATCTATTCCTTTATCATGTGATCTACAATTGTGATATATATTTTCCATATTATACACTAAATAAGGCTAGCTAAACCTTTGTCAGACTGGAGCCAAATACCTGATGTCTTGGAGGTTAATCCTCCGAGGCTGGTATCATGCGTACGTATCTGAGTCGTGTTGTCCAACAAGTATTACAAGGATAATGTCAACTTTTATTTTTGCATTTTTCAGAGACTTACTGGTGTTGGGTTTTTATTTAGCTTTATCTCTCTTAACATGAATAAACCCACACCCACCAGTGTGGGTGTGGGTTTTTGGTGAGTGTGGGTGGGGGTATCACCACAGATACCCATGGGTATACCCACATCATTCCCTATCTACATTTATTCTCTTCAACTGCCATTCCGTGCTATGGGGAAGCTGATCTATTGCTTTCATCAGAGTGTACTTGCTCCTGAACAACATATTAAGGCAGCTCATCTGGGCATTGGTGAGTATGTTATAAATTAAGGCTGCAGAGCTGAGTTGCTGACTCACAATTGGCAGTTTCATGAACTCATCTATCACATTTTGGCCCACCCACGATACCTTCCATTTCATAAGTCCCCATTCCTCTACATCCACAAATGGAGCCCATGGGTCTAGACCTTGGGCTTCTTGTTGCGCTCTGATGTCATGGAACATGGTTTCTGTGTGGCTGAGCATTTGTGCTACTTGCCCTGGGTATGTCTGGATGAATTGCATCCACATCCTTTCCTCATCCTCTACTTCTTTGACTTAGACACCAGATTGCTGATCTGGCATGTCAGTTATTTGTGGCCCTTCCTGTATGCCATCCCCCTGGCCATCAAACTCCCAAGGTATGTCTCTGTCAATGTCCACATTGATGTCCATTTCATGGTTATGATCTTCAGGTTGGTCATTGATGGCCTCTTATGTGGCTTGCTCATGGTTGCACAGCTGGTCCACATGTTGCTTACAGGCTGCAGTCTGGTGTAGGTAAACAACTTTTGCTGGAGACTACATGAAATGAATGTCTAGCAAAATATAATAGTTGTGGTCTAGCACAGCATAGTCTGCTATACTTGCAGAACAAGTGCATTTGACCTGAGGGGTTAACTGTTGGTAGTAGAATAATTAGTTATACTGAAAGGAAGATAGTCCGAAGTGCAGGAAACAAAGTCTGAAGGTATAATTATGAGTCTGAAGGTAAAATGTCGGGTCTGATGTTTTTCAGGTTTCGGGTTGGCAGGTTTCAGCAGGTTTCGTCAGATATTGTCAGGTTAGTGTCAGATTAGGAAGGGAATATCGGTAATAGTGAATGGCAGGTTACTGACAGTGTTTCAGAATGTTTCAGATAAAGAATGGATGATATGTGCGGAATTCAGTGAAGAACCACAGATATCTAATGACCTCCTCCTACTCAGAGGTAGAAAGGTATGATAAGTAAGGAGGTATGCAAAATATATAGTGTCTATGTAGAATTTCGTAGTGCTATAGGTGAAAGTAGTAGCGCTAATTTTCGGGTCCGATGTCCTATGTAATAAGACATGTGGTACTGTGGACATGTAATAACGCATTCTACAATGTTAGCGATGTGAAAACTGATAACTGCACACCTAGTGGGGATAGATATGACAGGACAGGACATAGGGAGAACAAATGCATGGGAAAATATCATATCTGAAGCGGCCGATGCATGGGAAAATTGGGTTTGCATCGGGTTAGCAGATAAATGTCAGATTGAGTGGGTGAGTGTCAGATAACATTGGGAAGTGATTCTTGTGCGATGGGCTTTTGACACAATGTGTGAAATAGCTGAATATGAGCCCAGCACTAGCTCAAGTGCTACACTGGCTGATATGAATGCTAACAGCTCTTGTACTTTGGAAGTTGCCTTTGAGGCAAAAATTGCAGCAGTGCATGATGGTTGAGCAGGAGATTGACAAGCCGAAAAGGCTGACCCATAAGTGACAGTTCAATCGAGTCTCACCTGGCTGACTTGTCACCCATCAGACATCAAAACTTTTTTCCTCAAGATCAGTGCCATCTCTCAAGATTGCAGGTTGCACATGACTTGATGTGAGCATGTTGTTGATGTCACAACATCAACGCTGTAGAAACAACAATACAGCAAGGCGCAAAAGAGGCTCCTGACTGTATCTAAAAATGTTGTAAGATCATGTGTTGCCTAGTCTGCTATACTTGAGACAACAAGTGCATTCGACCCTAAAGGGGAAGCAAGTGCAGCAAGGATCTAGAAGTATGCACTGAAGTGAAGCATGAGAAAGCGCAGGTGTGCACAAGCCACAAAGGTGCAGGAACACGCGCATGTACTGCGCGAAGCGCGGGAAAGTGTGCACGTGTATGTGGAAATGAGAGAGTGGAAGAGTGAGTTTGCTTAAGTGATGATTAGATGCAAGATAAGAGATGAGAGATGCGAGATGTAAACAAATAGATTTCTACTATGTTCTGCTAGGTAAAAAGTGGGTAGTTACCAGTCCAAAGGTTGGGAAGTCAAGTAAGGTAAGGTGGTAAGGTGGTGTGTAATGGTATCTACTGCTGGCGCTTAAGTATGGTGCCTAAGCGCTGTCATGCGGAGCCGAAGCGCTTCTGAGTAAGGTATGTAAAGATATCTATAAGTAAGGGTCCATGATAAAAATAAAGGTGGAACGATATGCAAATGAGAGAGATGGAAATATACACACTAGAGAACTTGGTGGACAGTGGATGGATGCTTCTGGATGGCTGGCGCTATAGGGCGCTCAAGCGCAGGAAAGCACACGTGCATATACATCACGAAGCATGGGAAGTGTGCGCGCATGGCGCGTGCTGCGCAGGAAAGCTGCGCCTCATATAGGGATAGCTGCAGACAGCACATTGAGTGGTGCTGCAAGTTCGTGCAATGAACTCCCTAGTGAAAAGTGCCATATCACACCATGAGAGGCATGAGTCTCTACAATTCATTGATTGTTGATTGTGTCTGGTTTGTTTATTATGACTGCATGTGGATGCGACACAACACTATAAAGGACGCTATGATAGAAAAAAGGTGTGCTGTGCCCTCATATAAAATTTAGATCAGGTAAGGGTACACCTGGGGTATGGGTGGAGGTTACCTTTCACGGCACCCGTACCCTTACCCATACCCATGCACGGGTTAGACCATCCAAACACAATATATTGCTACGTAATTGACAACTCTGTACTAGTACCTATGCCAAAACAAAACCTTAAAGAAGCCACAACTGTCAAAAAATCTCCCATCCCATCGTCCTAAGCAAACCTGTCCCAGACTCATACCTCGCATCCAACCATGCAACCAAATATATTCACCGCAGCTGCAAAATGGGTCACAAAGCTGACAGACAAGGCCAAAGCGGCACTTGAAGAGAGACTTGAAGCTACTGGCCCATCAAGGAAGCGAAAGATTGATGTGAAGGGCGCAAGTGCGGTCTCCAACAGCTCGAAGAAGGCAAAACAAAACCTTCCCACCAATACATCCAAAGATAAACTGGTTGTTGGTACATCCAAAGATAGGCCAGTCGCTGAGGCCTCTTCATCTCCACCTGATGTGGGAACAGTGGCAGAGCCTAGTAAAATTTGCCGTGCCATTGTTCGCACCGAGGAAGAGGAAGAAGCAATGTATGACAATGAGAGCGAAAAAGTGGAAGCGAGGCTGGTAATGAGGCTTCAAGTCCAGAGAGTGCGGAGGACGAGCGAAGTATGTTCCTGCTATAAAAATATAGCACCACTAATTAGCAACAGAGAGGCTCATGAAAGAATGGGTATCACCTGTTTATGCATTCTTTGACCCAACACCCTGCATCACTGAAGTTGGTGGTCGACGTGCACACGAATTCAAATGCCATGCAAAGGGGTGTAAGGCCACAATCTGATGGTTCTTGGACAAAAAGGATGCCTGATCGACAGGGAACATGCGCAAACATGTCAAATCTTGTTGGGGGGAAGATACGCTCAATGCTGCTGACAGCGCCAAAGATGCAAATGAAGTGCAAACAAAAATTGTCAGAGGTATCCTAAAGAATGGGTCAATCATGGCATCCTTCGAATGTAAGGGAAAGGGAAAAGTAACTTACTCGCACTGTCAACACACGCATGGAGAAACAAGGTGAGGTCTTGATGTTGTCGTTGACACCTAAACCTAAAGTGTCTTCTTCCAGGGCAGAAATAGTGTGTTGGGTATCAGAGAGTCTGCGTCTGTTTGAGATATTCAAGGATCGAGGATTTCAGTTGTTGATGAAGACTGGAAGGTCAGAGTATTACATACCTTCGCCATCCACAATTTCACGTGATGTTCGACTTGTGTTCGCTCGGACTTGTCAATGAGTTGCTAAAATGTTACAAGTTAGTTCAAATCATGCACTTTGAATTATTCACATGAAAAAACCTCACCAGGAATATGATGGCAAGATAAATTTTACAACAGATGCTTGGAGTTCACCAAATCATCGAGCGTTCGTTGCATTCTCAGTGCACCTCGAGCACAATGGCATACCACTAAGCCTACCATTAGATATCATTGAAGTAGCTAAGGTGAGAAACTTACCTTGATAGATCCACAGCGGCTAATACTATGTTAGTCACACACAGGCAAAGAGCTGGCAAACGTGTTTGTGAAGATGCTAGAGGAATTTGGCATTTCAGACATGGTAAATTTCAAAAGAGACATGATGACTTACAAATTGATATTGTGTGGGCCAGATTTTGAGCGTGACATGCGATAACGCCTCCAACAACAATGTCATGGTTGAGAACCTTGCGGCTGAGGTACCAGCATTTAGGGGGGCCGCAAGCCATACACAGTGTTTTCTTCATACAGTAAACCTTGTAGCAAAATCGCTCATTTGCGAGTTTGATGTAACCAAGAAAGAGGCCCACAAAGCCTTGGGTAAGCCTGAGAATAGTGATGACAGAACAGAGCTCGAGGTATTGAGCGAGGGGATTGATGGGGAGGATGCAGTGATGATCGCTGAATATGGTGTTGGGGATGATGACGGTAGGGACAATGATGATGGTTGGGTTGATGAAGTTGAAGAGCTCGATCCTGATGAGCGACTCACGCTGTAAAAGAGTATTCTTCCTGTGAAGTTAGCCCTTGTGAAGGTAAGAACAAAAAAAACCAACACGCACCTTCAAGTCTAATATCTCTTCCAGCTCCGTAGACTCGCATACAAAGTTATACATTCGACGACTATAGTCCTCCCAGTGTGGCATAAGATTCTTGAAGACTTGCAGGTGCCCATTACTCTCATGCCATGCAATGTTTCGACCTGCTGGAACTCCACATTTGATATGTTGGATTATGCGATTGAGCATCAGGAGGCTGTTGATATTGTGACTCAACGTCGAGATCTCGGTCTGCGGAAATTTGAGCTGAATGATGAGGAGTGGGCAATTGCCAAACAGCTGAGGGGTGTTCTCAAGGTAAGTACCGGATACATCCGAACGACACATTCACTAATTTTGATCTATGTAGATTCTAAAGGACACAACACTATTTTTCTCCCGCTCAACACCCAATCTAGCCACTGTGATTCCGGCCATGGATCTCATTGACGAAAAGCTCACTACATACTCCTGTAACAGACAGTATCACTCTTCAATCCACTCAGCTGTTCAGCTGGCAAAGGCAACACTTAACCGGTACTATCAACTTACAGATCAATCTGAAGTCTATCGCATTGCCATGGGTTTGTTCTTTCTTGTCTCTGTTCTGACGGCTCACATTCATACATATATAGTATTACACCCACATCACAAGCTCGTATACTTCAGGAACGCTTGATGGGAGGACGACTGGGTCACCACAGCTGAAGAGCTTGTCCGTGACTGATTTACTCTCTATTCAGCCTTGGATGCCAACCTTCAAGACAACGACTTGGACATGGAGACTTTAGAGGAGGAATCACATAAGGTGCATCTTTTTTTTAACTGCAACTACTGACTACTGATTCTATTCTAGATGAAAAACATATTTGATGACATGCCCGCCCTTGCTCTGCCAAAATCGACTGATCTCCGTGATGAGCTCGAGCGCTATCTCACCTCTGACATTGAAAATGTTCATGATGCACTTTCATGGTGGCACAAATGTCATACCACCTACCCTCATCTATCGCGGATGGCATTGGACTACCTCACCATTCCTGGTGAATTTTTTTATAAATTGAACTTGCATATACTACAGCTAATAACGTCAACAGCCACATCAGTCGACGTTGAACAACTATTCAGCCAAGGACGGCTCTTTCTCTCACATGTTCGCTCACGCTTATCTGCACAATCGACATGCGCACTGCTGTGCCTCAGTTTTTGGAGCAAACTTAACCTGGTCAAGACCGACGATGTTCTCAATGTCAGTTCTTTGCCTGATGTTGAAGGTGATGAAGAGGAGCTCGAGAATGGGTGGGATGATATTATCATTGAGTAGCTATTGTACACTGTGTCATAAATTTACCATATAATATCTATGACCCGCAGGTACACCCTTATGGGTTGTACCCCGGGTCCTTATTTCGCTACCCACTGCGCAACCCGTACCCTTGCTGCAGGTGTGGGTTTACCTTGGGGTGCGGGTGCGGGTTGACCTGCCGACACCCGGGGGTACACCCGTGCGGATCCCTATGTGCGCATGCTGTGCGAAGCATGGGAAAGTGTGCATGTGTATGCGGAAATGAGTGAGTGTAAGAGTGAGTTTGCTTAAGTGATGATTAGATGCAAGACAAGAGAAGCGAGATGTGAGGTGTAAACAAATAGATTTCTACTATGTTCTGCTAGGTAGATAGTGGGTGGAAGTTAGGTGAGTGGAAAAGTGAGGTGGTGAAAAGTAAGTCATAGTATGTACTGCTGGCGCTTATATGTGCCGCCTAAGCGCTGTCATGTGGAGCCGAAGTGCTACCGAGTAAGGTATGTGAAGATATATATAAGTAAGGGTCCATGATAAAAATAAGGTGGAATAATATGCAAATAAGGGCAAATGGAAATATATGCACTAGAGGGCTTGGTGGACAGTGGATGGATGTGTCTGGATGGCTGGTGCTATAGGGTGCTCAAGCGCGGGAAAGTGCGTGCGCATATACATTGTGAAGTGCAGGAAGTGTGCGCAGGAAAGCTGCACCTCATATAGAGATAGCTGCAGACAGCACACAGAGTGGTACTGCAAGTTCATGCAATGAACTCCCTAGTGAAAAGTGCCATATCACACCATGAGAGGCATGAGTCTCTACACTGCCCATCAAAGAAGGCTCTGTACCAAGGTATGCCATTGTTGATGTACTACCAGTTCTACCACTAACTATATTGTACACAGTTGAGGAAGACCAAGAACGCTGTGAGGCACGCCACTACCCAAGCAGTCAAGATAAAATCAAGGCCACCTGTAAAAATTGAGTGGACAAAGGTGTGTTGTTGACTGTTGCATCAGTTGCCTACCACCTAACTATCTTCAGGTACACATGACGGCACATAGTTTTCATTGCAGGCTATCAGCCTGTCCAACAGTAGTGTACCAGACAATGGTCCACTAGATCTGCGGCCCTGGTACAGCAAGGTCCCCCCACAGGATAAGCACATCCCATGGCCAAAATGCATCACACAGGTAAGCTCAGAATATCTTTGACTCTTAATATCTGATATCTGATCAAACATGAAGCAACATACACCAGCTCCATCAAGAACATCTGTGTCTGGGGGCTGGCAGGAAGACTCTCTTACAAAGGTGAGTCAGCTGCACGATATAACTTTAACTTGGATGTTGATGCCTTGTTTGTAAGGAGTCTAGTTTTGTGAATCATGAACATAGGTCCAATGATCTCAATATAAGTCTCATTGCCTTTACCTCAATGTTGGGGCACTCATAATTATGTTGAAGCCACTGCCTGCCCCACAGAAGCTGACAGCAGCACGGTGAAGGTGAGGAATCTTGACGATAGGTAAAAACACTTAAACTAAGGGGCTCTACAGCAAGACCAGGATATGAGAATAAGGCTCAACCCAAAGGACAGCTACTGAGAGAAGTTGCTCATTAATAAAGGAGAGGAAGACTCTGTCAACTAGATGGGTGATGACAGGTGTGCAAAGGTGCGAGAAGATAACATGTGTGAAGGTGTGTGTAAGTGATGTGAAGGCGCGCATGAGCGAGAGATGCGAGGGGCACCCATGTATGCAGATGTGCACTACAAGCAATAAGGGAAGAGCTTTCAAGTATAGATGAAGCGCAAGCGATATTTGGTAGAGAAATAAGATCTGCTTTCAGGTACTAAGGTGCACTATACACTTTTGCAGTAGACAGATATATGGGGGGGTAAGTACCAGAACCAAAAGAACCCTCTCTCTATTTAAGAAGGGAGATTACGGTATGCAGCGCACTTCCGAGCGCAGTCCCAAACCAAGTAACCATATCAACTCTAAATATATTCTAAGTTCAAATAGACTCTCTGTATGTAAGTGCGGAAGTCAGACCAAAGACTCATTAATTCAATGAAAGAGATAAGAATAATGCACCAGTAAATCAGCAAGGACATGGGACAGATGGACAGACAGTAAGAGCGCGAAGACCTAAAGGGATGCATGCGAAAGGCGTGAGTGCATGCAAGATGCGCGAGTGAGGCGTGTATGTAGGGCGCGCGCATGCGAGAGCACAAACGACTGGTCCTTTGGATAAGAGCTGGTACATGTAGGGAATTAAGTGGGTAATAAGGCTGTATATCCAGCATTGAGAAGTGCGAGTCTCTACAATGGGCCAACGAGCTCATCCAACTCTGATGTGTACAGTCCAAAGGCAACTTAGATAACAACATGGACTTGACTGACAGTGAGCAAGTAGTCCAATGACAAAGACAAAGACCCTATTGATCATGATGTGGATAACAGTGATGTGTTCACCAGTGGAGAGATATACTATGGTGAGGGTAACAACTATGAGGGTGAGTGGTGCTGTATCATACATTCGAATGGCAACTGAATGATCTTGCAGATTTGCACCACTTGAAGCGCGTGTGGCCACCACCCTCAGATGATGAGGGTGACAACACACAGAGTCATAAATGGATGTGCAAGTCCAAAGATTCACCCTCCCTGCAGCAATGTGAACAGCAGCTTCCACACAAGATTCATCCGAGTAAGGGCCGTGTAGCAGTCCATGATTATGAAGTAGCGGTGCAGCAACTCATCAAGTTTGTGATCAGCCATTTTTGTGTCTGGCTTGCATCTGAGTGTGCCTATCCAGATTGCATGACTCAAGTCTTGTGGGTGAAGGAGGCCTGGAAGGAGGCATGTAACTCTTATGAGTTTGAGATGGGGTTCAATGGTGAAATCATACAGATGGTATGTGATTGAGTTCTATTATTTTATCTGCCTAATGTCTTGTTGAAGATTACCTGGCGCACATCACATCTCACAAGTGAGGTGAAAGGGAAGGTTCGCCCACTTGTCGAGAATATTTATGGTTTCGAGTCCACCAATTTGGAGTCCATCAAGTGCAGGAATCGCAAACTTGCCCATGAGCTCAAAGATAAATTTGGGTTGTGTTATCGAGTACGTTAATGATATCTCAAGTCATGTTTTGTACTTATGTTTGTTTGGAAGGACCTTGGGGACAAAAAGAACAATGTCCCTCACAGTGGCCTCTTTCAGTCGAGGTTAAATCAGCAAGTGGCAAATTTACTCTGGTACCGCAACAAGAACAACGAAGGGATTATATTTGAGAAATTTTTTTCACCATTTCCAATTCCTACCTTGGCCTTGGTGTACACCACAGTGAGTCATACTATTGTCTGTTGGCTTCAGATGGTGATATTGTTGGCTGCAAGCTGAATGCTGCATTGATGAATGGTATGATGGTGAACAGGTAGATATCAGTTTTTCAAGCGGTGATTATAGGGAAGTTTATGATAAGCATCTCACAAACCTCGAGAAGTTTCATACTCAAACAAAGGTTCATGGAATCCTTGATGGCATCCTGACGGAACTCAACAACAATGGCAGGTAAGAGCATTTCAAGGATTTGAACTTGGAAATTTTACAATCATTGCCCAGGTTGCATGCAAAGGTGGATCCGATTAACATTGGAGATGGAGACTGCCTCTCAGACAATGAGATCAACAATGCAATCCGGGAATACCAGCAGGTTGGTGGCACAGATGACAGTGACGAGGTGGAGTCTGACTTGGAGTCTGAGGGTGGTCAATTTGAAGTTGGTGAACGAGTAGAATAGTGACTGCTGACTAGTATGAAACCATGAATGCATGCCATTGATCTCCCTGTTATTTGCAAGCACACAAGTGCTTGAGTGCTATAATATACCACTGGATGTGTGCTTACTACAATGGTAAACAATATATCACTACATTGCCAAGGTACAAGATACCAGATGCTATGTTGTGCAAATAAATATATAGTCCGGGATACATGGTACTATATGGGGGGGGGGGGGGGGGGAGATGCAACCAGGCCATAAGGGCTATATAGCCTCTGTAGTGCTATGTCGCAGTTCCCATTTTTCCTGATGTGGGCTTTCAGGTCAAGTGCGATTTTGACCAGCCAAGAGATATGTGTATGTATAATAGCACATTCACTGCAAGGGGAACTCTCAAATGCAGTAGGGTCGCAATGCTTTGAACAAGTATGAGGTCCAGATGGATGTGTGATGTCGACAGTAAAAGGTAGAGTGTTTGGTCCACTGTGATAACTCTCCCAAGGAAACATCATAAAGAATGGCCACACATCATCTGGCCAGTTGATGGGAATACCAGTGCAAGTGTGCTCATCAAGAGTCAGAGATATTGG